AGTGGTCTAAAGCACCTACTTGGAACAAGCTTGGCTAAAGCACAGGGACCGCGGTTCGATCCCCCAGCACCACATGCCAGCCAGCTGCGCCCCCTGGTGGGCTGAGCTGGCCACACACACACACACACACACACACACAATAAATGTTAAAAAAAAAAAAAAAAAATCAAAGCTCCATAGAAAAAGTCATGAGTGTAAAAGGGATCTTTCCTACTCCTTATGATTTTTAAAGCTGTGCCTCGTGTCTCTCCATGTCAACGCAGTCCTGGCCTTCCTGAGGGCCCAATATATGTCCATGTCCCTGAGCACTTCTAGGGACCAGAAGCTGCACTAGAGCCTGACCCATATTCTAAATGTTAATCCTTCCTACAGCTTCAGAAGGTGGGCACCATAAGGCCCCAACCCCTACACCCTGCACAGAAGGGCTCAGCTTGATCTGGGAATTAATGAGCAAGGATCCATACAGAAGTGATGGCAGAGGGGCAAGGGAGATGGCTCAGTGGACTAAGTGCTTCCCTGGCAAGTGCAAAGGCCTGAGTTCAATCCCTGGTTCTGGAAAAAAAAAAAGCAAAAAGAAGTGATGGCAGTACCAGAGCCCAACCCAGACCCTTGTTCCTTATCTAACTACCATACCTGCAACAGTGTTCACCTTCTGCTGTTCCACTATCCTGACTACTCCTCACCATCCTTGAGAAGGCTTCTCTGCATGAGCTGTAGCTGATCTATTTCCACACCACTTTGGGACCCTCTGTGGCCTGTTCTCTGGTGACTATATGCTGACACCTGTACAGGGCACTGGGTTCCTCATACCTAGCACCTGTCCTCACTTGGAAGATGTGGATGCAGTTCTGGGAATGAAGTTCCTACCTGAGAATCTGTACATTGGCCTCAGCTGTCCCTCCTGAGAGCCTCTGGCTTTCTTAGGAGGATGTTCCCTGAGGGCTGCTAGCCAAAAGCACCTGGAACCCTGATATCCTACCAGTCTCTTTCATAATTCACTGGTGTGACACAGGAGCACTCACATGGAATGGACACTAATCAGATCCCATGAGCCTTGGGACATCTGCTACCATGAGATAGGTGTTGTTGGCTCTGTCTGCAGCATAGAAAACAGTCTTAGAGGTCAAGCTAGCACCATGGTGTCAGAGGGGGACAGAGTATACCACAACGGCTCCCCCTGGGCAGTGTCCAGCAGGTAGTTGTCCTCTTAAACATCTGGCAAATAACCAGTAAGCAAACCCTCTCATTTCATTAGAATGGGGAGTGACCTGCCCAGGTGCCCATTGTGAATGAGCCAAGGAGGGACAGAGCAGCCCCAGAACACAGACTCCTCACTCCTCTTCTTCCCTTCCACAGACAAACATATTGCCCACCAGAATGCTCACTGTCATGCATAGATCACAGCTAGCCTTTCCAACTTAGCCTGGCCTAGTCCACAAGGTCCTTCAAACCTCAACAAGGCCTTCCAGCTGACAACCTGCACCTTTCACCTTTCTGGCATGTGTTACAAGGGGAAATTCTGGGAATGCTTCCTATATTGACAGATTGAGAAGTTACCCCTATTTTGTGCATTTCTGATTCTCAAACTTTTACAAAGCCAAAGGTTGGGCTTAGGGGAGTTAAAGAACAGAAAGATGTTTGTGAGGGACACTGACCCATCCTTCCAAAGTAACAGCAGCCAAAACCAATCTGGGAAAGCCTTTCATGATGGGACTCACAAGGAAGCTAGAGAACAGCTCCTCCTAGGACCCCCAAGGTACTCTCTCATAACTGGCCCCACCAACTTCCTGACTCTCACCCTCCTATATACTCAAGCAAAGATTCACTCTTCACCTCCAACTTTTGTCTTCAAGACAGAAGAAACATCCCATTAGATGTTTCTTCTGTCTTGCCTCCATGAACATAATGCTCTGGTCACTGGTCTCACTTCAATTCCAGAGCAATGGCATTGTTCAAGCACCTCCACCTGGTCTCCAGCATGTGCCAGCCCAGCCTGAAGTAGACTCTCCACAAGTGACGCAAATCATAATGTGAAAGTAGCACTTTAACTGCCATTCTACTATCCCAGTAACTAATGCAGCAAGTCACAGTAAGGTCTCATTACTTCCACAAGAGAGACAAACACAAGAAGACTCGGGAGGTGGGGGCTTCACTGTTACCAGAACCATGTAAAGAGAAAGGGTTGCTACTGCAGGGTTCAAAAATTCCTTTCCCCTTGCTGAGACAAATATAGACTGCTCTATCCTCAGACAGGACTTCAATGATCTCCTAGCTGGGCACCTTTATTTTGTAAGTGAGTGAAGACAATGTAGAAAAAGAAAGCAACAGGTCACAAAATGAGGAAACTGAACATGGGGCAAACAAGGAGGCTCAGGAGCCGAGGAGATGGCTCAGTGGAATACGTACTTCCCTGGCAAGCAGAAGAGCCTGAGTTCAATCCCTGGTTCTGCCAAATTAAAAAAAAAAAAAAAAAAAGAGGCTCAGCTAGACCTGTCAAACAGTATTCAGAAAGACAGAGTAATCTATTAAAGCACAAATAGTAATGGAAAAAAATTAATAGTATTAAGGAGAAAGAAGTGGCTCTCAGGTTTCCTTTTTAGAGCTGGGGATGTAGCTCAGAGTCTCAGCTATTGTCTAGCATGCAGAAGGCCTGGGCAAGGCCCTGGGTTCGAACTACAAAAGCTAAAACCAAGAAAACACTAGGCTTCAAGAACAAACAGAATGGTAGAATTATTGACCATTTTTCTACTGTCATTTTTAATCCCAAATATGGTATGTTATTGAAAGGTTCAAAGATGTGACTAATACTGCAATAAAGTATACTGGCATTGAAAAAAAAATTTAAAGAGAAAATGTCAGGGGTGTGTGGTGGTGCATGCCTGTAATCCCAGCACTCCAGAGGCTGAGGCAGGAGGACTGCTGAGTGTTGGAGGCCAGCCTGGGCTACACAGTGAGTTCAAGGCCAGCCTAGACAATATAGCCAGACCCTGTCTCAACAAAACAAAACAAAACAACTCAGCAAAAGCCACTGGAGCTCTCCTGTCCCACCAAGGACAGTCAGTCATCACTGTGAATCTGAGTCAGAAAGAACCTGAGATGTGCAACCTTGCTATACATCAAAGTCATTATCTTACCCTAGACCAACTGAATCAGAATAGCTTGAGAATGGACTCCAAGAATCTATAATTTTAAAAATTCTCCCAAATAAACCTGAAACAACAGAAGGACACAATGGTATTGGCAACCACTTAGAAACTGTGATTCTTCCTTCTAAATGAAAATGAAACCAAAGTCAGAGAGGAAAATGATTTGCCAAAAGTAACACTGCGTTGGTGCTGGGCCCTGCCTAGAAACTATTTCTACCAATTCTGAGTCCAGAAAGGCAAATCCTCTCATCTCTAAATGCCCAGGACCCCTCCCCACTACCCAGAACCAGTTACCTCTGCAGGCCAATAAGCTTCCACTTCTGAAAATCCATAATGTGCAAAGGAGAGGACACCCAGTGCTTCACAGGTTTGGCATAGTGGCCATAGTTGGGAACAAAAATGGACAATGCTGTCACAAGCTTCCTGACTATGGTTTCATCTTCTCCTAGAACCACGAGGGTCCTCCCACTGAGTAGGGAGTAGATAGCTGGGTGGGCAAAGGGGTACTGGCGGATGAATCTTAAGGCATTCTGGCCAGCCCTCTTTTTATGCCTCTCGGAAGACAAGCTGACTGGGTAAGCAGAGGAGGGGGTCCTGTCTGAGCTAGTGGAGGCTACACTGCTCACATAGCTGGTGTCAGAATAGTTATCCAGACTAGTCTTACTGACATCCCGGCTAGCCAGCAGGTGGTTTGGATCCAATTCATAAGCTGGGAATGTCTCACAACTGTTGTCTTGTGAAGGATTGGTGTTTTCCACTGCAAAGTCCACATGGAAGTGCTGGTCCTTCTGCCTGTAGCGCTGTGGGGGAATGCTCACTACACCATCCTCATCAGAGAGAGTGTGGGCAGGGATGGGGAGTGGTACCAGTTGACCATTGCTCTCCTTTCCAATACAGCAGGAGGAATCTATCTGAGGCGGGGTGTTTTCCAAACCACCCTCCTGGGCCTCACTTAGCTCCAGTGGATTGATGCTTGCACTAAAGTGGATGGCCCCCTCATCTGCATATGATTCTTCCTCATTAATGGCACTTGGATAGCTGGCCTTAAAGTCATCAGGGATGAGGGCCTCAGAAGGACAGGTGCTCAAGACTTCAATACTGTCCTCACTGATGGTCCTGTGGCTGACTGCTTTGCTTCGGACCACCTGGGGACTTAATGGCACCGTAAGGCTTGCCTGGCTGTCAGACTTTGCCAGCAGAGCAGTAGACTTCTCAGTGCCCAGAACTTCAATGCTTTCACCACTGCTGATGCTCCCTTTCATGTCCATATCCAGGTAGTCCAGGTTTTCTTGGGGGTCAAAACTGTTTGATTCTGTCACCTCTACTTCTTTGTACTCCTCATCTCCAAGTTCCTGGTCCATCTTGATCAACACAGACTCCACACTGGACTTGTAGGAACCAACACTAATTAACACTTTAGGGATCAGGCATTCTTCCAGAGACCTGGAAGGTAGCCTGTCTTGACTGAGCTGAGATGGTACACTCTCTTGTTTCTCCACCATCCTGTCATCAGCATCCACAAAGTCTTCAAAGAGGAAGTTTGTTATATGTTGTTGTTTTAGAAGTGTTCGGTCAATCTGACTGGTCAGGAGGTAGCACAGGTCTCCTCTGAACATGCGTTCAATGTGGCCGAGCTGGGCTAGGGTTTGGGTGAAATACTCAGTGTCACAGAGCTCCTCCAATGTCTTCAACTTCTTGTCAAAACACTTGGTAGACTTTGCTTTAATGAGTTTTGGGGTATAGGCTGGTCTGCAGGTGTAAATGTCTGAGTCAGCAGACTCATCTGGGTTAGAGGTAGTGGATGCATGGTCAGCCTGACCCTGGGTATGCTCCATCTCACCAGGACACAAATCAGACCCCTTCACCTTCCTATGAGGATATGATCGGATCTGCTTCAGCAGGTCTTGATGTTCAATAATGGACTTCTCTACACTAGCCAGTTCATTAGCTTTTTCAATTGCCTGAGATGAGTAAAAACCTTTATCATTGGCTTTCTTCTGGATCTCTGTTTCTGTGTGCAGGACTGTCCTAGTATAATCCAAGTCTTTCAGCTTTTTTTCAAGTTCCCCAGCAAATGCCTTCCTGTTGCCTGATTTCAAACACTCAGAGGCTTTAGAAAATTCAGCTGAAAGCTCCTGGAACTGCTGCATGATTTTATGCTGGTCTGCTGAGATATATGCCATGCAGAAGGGCCTCACAAAGCCTCGGGCTTCTAGATCATACAGGGTGAGGTGATGCACATATGCAAACGCTCCTTCCTTGGAGTCTCCCAGCACTACTTTGGAGTCCTCCACAAAGTTTAGCTTGGGGTAGGCAGAACCAGGAGGATGGCCCACAAAGGAAGCCTGGTAATCCACAGACATGATACGCAGAGAGAAGTAATTGAGATCAAAAGTACCAAAAACTTTGGTGTCATTGGGAATGGTCAGCAAGGGTTGGGGTCCCACCTGCTCAGAGAACTCTGAAATAAGGATGAAGTCCCTTGAGAACTTGGCCCCGGACAGCTTAGACCACGGGTTGGCTCCCTGGTTGGCGAAAGGGAAGAGCGGCACTGAGTACTCCTCAGGCAGGGACGGTTCGTTGTAAGGCTCTTCCTCGTATTCATCTTCTTTGGTGAAGGCTACCACGTCAGGGGCGCTGATCATATTTCCTGATATACAGAGAGAACATTGAGAGGAAATGGGAAAGAACGCAGGGTCAATCGATACAGCAAAGCGAGTCCTATTAAGGAGGAAGCGAAGTCCTTGAGGACTTGTTCGCGGCCCCAGGGATCCTAGGCGGCCTCTCACACTAGAGAACTTGAACTCTTGAAGCTCCCTTAGACGTACAACTCCTCCAGAGCCCGCAGAGGTCCATGAACTGCAAAGCTGCAGACCCAGAAGACGGCGGAGGATGGTCGCTTTCCCTCTTCCTCCGGCAAGCACCACCGGCGCAAGGCACCTGCAACGAGATCACTACCACTCCCCGGAGCCCACCGAGACTGCAACAGGACCAGTCCTAATTGAGTGCCTAATGTGGACGCAGGGTTCACCCAAGCTTTGCCACCCGCACGGCCCGAAAGCAAAAACCGTCTGGGATCCTTGGAGGCCACAAACCGGAGACAGCTACCGCTGCGCCGCCATCTTAGCATCACATGACTCCCGGTCAACCACGCCGAGTGCCCCGGAAGTGTCTCACAAACTTCCGGACAGGAGCAATAAAGGTAGTTAGAGCGCCTCGGACGGCACGACCCAGTGGCCCCTACCAAGTACCAGTAGACTAGTTAAACACTGTACTTGAAAGAAAGCCAAGTAGGACTGGAATGTGGAGGCGAAAAGCGCTTGGCTGTGCGCTCTGGGAGCGCGAGGCAGTCTGGGAGTTGTAGTTCGGCGTCACTGTGGGGCGCTACTCTGGAGGAAGTGGCGGGAGAAGGCGGGAAGAAGCAGAGTTGCGGGTTTTGGTTTATGGGTCCGCGGCTGCCGGGAGAAGGAGCAGTAACTGCAGCCCCGGAAGCCAGCGTGAAGGTGGGCAAGTCACCAAAGGGCGGGCGCCTCCCAGAGTCTGGAATTCCCCCGGGTGCGCGCCAGGCGGCCCTTGTCCCTGGCTTCTCCAACATGCGCAGGCACCCGGAGAGCCGCTACGGGCGCGGGGCCTAGAGATGATCTTTTCGGTCGTCCGTTACCCGCTCCGGTGGTTTCGAAGGCCCACGGGCCGTACTTTGACCCTCGCTGCCATGGAGGTTGCCTTCCGAGGCGTGCGGAAAGTCCTGTGTGTGGCCGAGAAAAACGACGCAGCCAAGGGAATCGCTGATCTGCTGTCCAGCGGTCGCATGAGACGGGTAAGAATGTGTTTGCGACCCGCTGCGCCCCCTGGGAGAAGCCACTGAGCGGGACAGCGTGGCGGGCGCCGGGATTCTCCGTCTCGGAGACCACTGCTTCTCGCGTGGCCCAGTGCAGAGACTTCCCTGACCGCAAGCTGGCGCACCCGTGGAATTGTAAAATATAGTCAGATTTTTTCACTTGTTAGAAAATCTTCAATCTTTGTGTCTCTAACAGCGTTCTCAAATTTGTCTAATCCTCCAACACACCTGGGAACACTGCCTGTTTTGTAGATCTAACGTTTAGTTCAATTGGAAAGCTAAGCAAACTCCTTTAACTTCGAATTCAAGCCCCGACTCGACCAAATGATCCCCAACTATCTGAGCCCTTCCGTATTTTGTGCCACATCGCTTACATTGTGCATTTCTAATTTACCAGTCCCTAATCTCACCTTGATGGGATGACAAGCTTTGGGAGTTAAGAGTTGGAGTCAGCCCTCTTCTTGTTCCTACAAATTGATTCCAAGAGCTAAAAGTATAGTATGTGAATATTTTCAGGATAAACTGTGGTCACAGAGGAAAGGGAAGATAAACGACTTAAAGGAGGCAAGGGCATGAGAACCTTTGTTCAGGAAAATCTCCCAGATAATAAAGGTGGTTCATGAAATGGTTTTCTGTAGAACATTTCTAAGAACATGGGACCTAAGTTCCCGGTTCCGGCTTTTCTGTTGTTGCTGCTGTTTGTTTGTTTGTTTGTTTGTTTGTTTTACAGTTTCCAGGGACCTTAGATCTGTTCTTCTAGCTCTAGGAAAAGGCAGCTGAGGTTGAACAGCTGGCTTAGAGGTTCGCCTTTTTCCAGTGCTGAAAATCATGACCAGCTCAGCATTTGCCTACTTCTGAGGCTCTGAAGCTTTTGAAAGGGGCCCCTTTAATCTTACTTCTTTATATTTTACAACTCTGCTTAAATGTTTCTTTTTGAAGGAAACTTTCTCTTACATCCCTGCCCCTAGCACCACTAGGTCAGGGACCTTTGGGGTTTTTTGTTTTGCTTTGTTTGTTGTTGTTTTTGCGGAACCAGGGATTGAACTCAGACCCTTGGGCTTGCCAAGGAAGCGCTTATTCTACTGAGCCATCTCCCCGGCCCCAGGGACCTTTATTGATAAGTTATCATGGCACTTTGCTTTCCTATTTGGAAGTTATCTTCCAAGTTCAGTACAGCAAAGTCAAATTATTTGTTGGACTCTCAAGCTCCGAAGGATAAAGTAGTATATTAAGTAGTTGCTTTATACTCCTGGTGTTTAATGTAGGTCTGAAATACAGAGACTTTCAGTGAATATTGGTTGGGTAAATGAGTCTGGAAGTTTATCAGACAGTACAAATGTGTGAGGAACAAACCACCCCCTACACACACACACACAAAGAGGAACAACCCAATGGTGTGCCTTGTTTAAAATGAGGGAGTGTTGGGGCTGGGGAGATAGCTCAGTGGAATAAGCACTTGCCTGGCAAGCATAAGGAACTGAGTTCAATCCCTGGTTCCACAAAAAAATAAAATAAAATAAAATAAAATGAGGGAGTGGGTAGGAGCTTGGTCAGTAGGGGTGGAAAAACTAGCAGGTCAAATAAGAGAAGCAATTGCATGCAGATCCTGAAGGCATTAGGAAGCCATGTGGTTGTGGGTAGTTGAATGTGGTAAAACATACATAAAATTCACCACTTTAGCTATTTTGAAATGTATGATTTGATATCATTTAATACATTCCCCAAAAGGAGATCTCTATTTATTAAGCAACTATTCTCCCTTATATCCTCCTTCCAGTCACCTGCAGCCACTACTTTCTATCTGCATGGATTTGCTAATTCTGGACATGTCCTACAAATGGAGTAGTGCACTATCGGGCCTTTCTGTGTCAAGATTCTTTCACTTAGCATCATGTTTTTGAAATCTGTCCATGCTGTAGTGTGTATTGGTACTTCATCCCTTTTTATGGCTGCATAGTGTTTCATTGCATAAATAGATCTCTTATTTTGGCTTTTTGTTTTTGGTTGGGTTTTTAGGGAACGGTCTACAGGGTGTTCAGGGTCTCACTACTAGATCAGACTCATACTGATCCTCCTGTTTTCAGCCTCCCAAGTGCTGGGATTACAG